TCTATCTCTCTCCATCTGCCCCTCTCTCACTCTCTCTTTCTGTCCCTCTCACACTTTTTTTTCTCACTTCCCTCTCTCTCTCTGTCCCTCCCGCACTTCCTCAAAGTGTCATCATCGCCAACCTGTCAACCTGTCACTAATCAACCTGTCACAAACATCACCAACTGTCAACAGTCAAACCTTTCACATCACACCAACCTGTCAATCTCTTCCCAGGCACACCAACCTGTCAAATTCCCAACACAGTCACCTTGTCAATCTCTTCCCAGTCATTCCCAACCTGTCAAACAGTCACCATTCACCACCAACCTGTCAATCTCTTCCCCCAGTCATTCCCACCTGTCAAACAGTCACCATTCAACCTGTCAATCTCTTCCCAGTCATTCCCAACCTGTCAAACAGTCACCATTCACACCACCTGTCAATCTCTTCCCATCATTCCAACCTGTCAAACAGTCACCATTCACCCCAACCTGTCAATCTCTTCCCAGTCATCCAACCTGTCAAACAGTCACCATTCACCACCAACCTGCCAACAGTCATTCCCAACCTGTCAACAGTCACCACCAACCTGTCAATCTCTTCCCAGTCATTCCAACCGTCAAACAGTCACCATTCACCACCAACCTGTCAATTCTCTTCCCAGTCATCACCCAACCTGTCAAACAGTCACCAGTCAAACCACCAACCTGTCAATCTCTTCCAGTCACTTCCCAACCTGTCAGAACAGTCAGTCATTCATTCACAACCTGTCAATCTCTTCCCCAGTCATTCCCCAACCTGTCAAACAGTCACCATTCACCACCAACCTTCAATCTCTCCCAGTCATTCCCAACCTGTCAAAACAGTCACCATTTCTGTCTCTCTTCCCAGTCATTCCCAACCTGTCAAACAGTCACCATTCAACATTCCCAGTCACCAACAAACAGTCACCATTTCACCAACCTGTCAATCTTTCCCAGTCATTCCCAACCTGCCAAACAGTCACCATTCACCACCAAACCTGTCAATCTCTTCCCGGTCATTCCCAACCTGTCAAACAGTCACCATCACCACCAACCTGTCAAAAGTCCCAACCTGTTCAAACCAGTCACCCATTCACACCAACCTGTCAATCTCTTCCCAGTCATTCCCAACCTGTCAAACAGTCACCATTCACCACCAACCTGTCAATCTCTTCCCAGTCATTCCCAACCTGTCAAACAGTCACCATTCACCCCCAAACCTGTCAATCTCTTTCCCAGTCATTCCCAACCTGTTCAAACAGTACCATTCTCACCAACCTGTCAATCTCTCCCAGTCTCCCAACCTGTCAAACAGTCACCATTCACCACCAACCTGTCAATCTCTTCCCAGTCATTCCCAACCTGTCACCATTCAAAACAGTCACCAACCTGTTCACCATTCCACCAACCTGTCAATCTCTTCCCAGTCATTCCCAACCTGTCAAACAGTCACCATTCACCACCAACCTGTCAATCTCTCCCCAGTCATTCCCAACCTGTCAAACAGTTCACCATGTCACCTGTCACCAACCTCAAACAGTCAATCTCTTCCCAGTCATTCCCAACCTGTCAAACAGTCACCATTCACCACCAACCTGTCAATCTCTTCCAGTCATTCCCAAACCGTCAAACAGTCACCATTCACCACCAACCTGTCAATCTCTTCCCAGTCATCCCAACCTGTCAAACAGTCACCAGTCACCACCAACCTGTCAATCTCTTCCCAGTCATTCCCAACCTGCCAAACAGTCACCATTCACCACCAACTGTCAATCTCTTCCCAGTCATTCCCAACCTGTCAAACAGTCACCATTCACCACCAACCTGTCAATCTCTTCCCAGTCATTCCCAACCTGTCAAACAGTCACCATTCACCACCAACCTGTCAATCTCTTCCCAGTCATTCCCACCTGTCAAACAGTCACCATTCACCACCAAACCTGTCAATCTCTTCCCAGTCATTCCCAAACCTGTCAAACCCACCACCTTCACCCCAACCTGTCAATCAATCTCTTCCCAGTCATTCCCAAACCTGTCAAACAGTCACCATTCACCACCCAACCTGTCAATCTCTTCCCAGTCTTCCAAAGTCACCATTCCTGTCAATCTCTTGTCAACCTGTCAAAAGCACCATTCACCACCAACTGTCAATCTCTTCCCAGTCATTCCCAACCTGTCAAACAGTCACCATTCACCACCAACCTGTCAATCTCTTCCCAGTCATTCCCAACCTGTCAAATCAGTTCACCCACTCCCAACCTGCAACTCTTCCCAGTCATCCACCCAACCTGTCCCCAAACAGTCACCATTTCACCACCAACCTGTCAATCTCTTCCAGTCATTCCCAAACCTGCCAACAGCACCATGTCACCACCAACCTGTCATCTCTCTTCCAGTCCATTCCCACCTGTCAAACAGTCACCACCTGTCACCTCTTCCCCAGTAATTCCCAATCCTGTCCAGTCACCGATTTCACCACCTACCTGTCAATCTCTTCCCAGTCATTCCCAACCTGCCAAACAGTCAACCATATCACCACCACCTGCAATTCTTCCAGTCATTTCCAACCCTGTAAAACTCACCTCATTCACCACCAACCTGAGTCAATCTCCTTCCCAGTCATTCCCAACCTGTCAAACAGTCACCATTCACCCCACCAACCTGTCAACCTCTTCCCAGTCATTCCCAAACCTGTCAAACCAGTCACCATTCACCACCAACCTGTAATCTCTTCCCAGTCATAATACTCCAACCTGCCAACAATTCCACCATTCACAACCAACCTGGTCAATCTCTTCCCAGTCACTCCCAACCTGTCAAACCAGTCACCATCAACCAACCAGACCTGTCAATCTCTTCCCAGTCGATCCCAACCTGTCAAACAGTCACCATTCACACAAACCTGTCAATCTTTCCCGTCGATACTCCTGGCCAACAGTACACTGCGTATCCTTGGCGCCGATTGGTTCCATCCTCATGTAACGTCCAGAGATCCCAATAGCGCGATCTCCCGTACACCCCCCTCCACCTAATCTCTAGCATCTGTGGCGACCACTGCTGTTCCGTACCGCGACCGTTGTCGGCATCCTGCGTCGCCTTCTATACAACTCAATTAGCGTCACGTCACAGCATGCCCTAAACCCGCGTGAGTCTACACCTATAGGGTCCGACTGCAAGCATATTCGTCCCCCTCAACCATGAGAACAGAATCCCGCGTTAACCTGACCACTCTGTCCACTCCACTAGCGACACACAACCACACACTCCAGACAATGTTATATCTGACCATCCCCTCTTCTTTCCGTACACGGCGCCAGGACGCCCGCGTCAACACCCTACAAACTTCTCCTACCAGCTTCCACGAAATCTACCCTTCATCTCACGCACACAACACTCTCTTCCGCGCCAAAAACAGCCGCTATCATTCTAACACTCCCCTCTATCCTCCCAATACCCGCTCTCCAACCAATTACACATCCGATCCCCACACATCGCTCCAGCGTGTGGACGTCGCGCCAAGCTCGATATCCCCAAGCCCGCCCAAACCAAATGCATCTCTCCTCCTTACCACAACATCTCCGACTTCAATGCGATCGAGCTCCTTATTACCACAGTCCCAGCCCCATACCCGCTCTGCCGAAACCATCCATCTCTCTCCACCCAAGGCATGTATTCCACCCAACGCCAATCCCGACGCCCATCGAGGAAGTAGCGAGCGTGCGATTAACTAAAGCCAACATTGTTATCTCTCACACCCAAGCACACTTCTTGCCGTACAGCCTCAACCATTCCTTCCCACATATAGCAATACCTGGCGTCTCGTACGTCATTGTCTCCTATCAGAATACCTTCTTCACTCCATACATGCCAAAGACAGCTACGTCACAACAGCTTCCCGTTATAGATCTGCCCCGAGACTACCAGCTAACATACTCCAGTAGATCTCACTTCCAACCATAGCTGTACTGATGGTCCACACTCTATCCTCACACACACATCGCCGCCTTCTATCCCTGTGCTGCATAGCTTCGTAGCATCCATAACCGAGGCTCGCTCCATAGTGACCGCTTAATTTCGCACTAGCCATAACACTAACCAACAACACCCTTGCCAACACTCTGACTCCGTAACTCATAACACGTCTACTCCTCATCTCACAGCATTCACTGAGCTGCACTGCGACTAAGTCCCAGTCATACTTTTATCATCCCATTTCTAACACACACTTCTTTAGTATAGTTCCTCCGTCCCTGCGTACCCCGAACGCAGCATAACGACGCGAGCGCGAGATCCTGACATCTCCAGCATTCACCATCCCCTACTGAAACAAATCACTGCCATCACACCTCACTATCCATGATCACATGCGGTTATATATTCAAAATAGACACACACACTGTCGAGACACACGTCACATTTCACCACAACCTGTCAATCTCTTCCCAGTCATTCCCAACCTGTCAAACAGTCCACCACTTCCACGACCATAGCACTGTCCCAGTGCGTGTATCATTCCCAACCTGTCAAACTAGTCACCATTCACCATCGCAACCTCCTGTCCAACTCTCTCGGCACAAGATCATTCCACCTGTCAAACAGTCACCATCACCAACCGTGTCAATCTCCTTCCCAGTCATTCCCAACCTGTTCAAACCAGTCAACCCATTCACAACACCTGTTGCAATCTCTCCCAGTCATTCCCAACCTGTCAAACCTCATTCCACGCCACTCGTCGAATCTCCTTCGTTCATTCCCCAACTGTCAAAACAGTGCCACCATTCACTTCTTGGTCAATTCTCTTCCCGAGCTCTATTCCCATCCTCAAACAGTCACCAGTCACCACCAACCCTGTCAATCATCTTCCAGTCATTCCAACCTGTCACAGTCAACAGTCACCACCAACCTGGGTGCGTACTGCTTCCCAGTCATTCCCAACCTGGCCCAAACACGGCCTCACCATTCAACACACACGACCTGCAATCTCTCTCCCCAGTCATGTCCCAATTTGACAAACATGTCACCATTCACCACCAACCTTCATATCCTTCCCCAGGTCATCCCACCGTGTCAAAAAAGTCACCATTCACCACCAAACTGCAATCTCCCCATCGATTCCCAACCCAACAGTCACCATTCACCTACCACACCTTGTCTAATCTCTTTCAGTCATCCCAACCCTTGTCCAAACAGCTCCAACATTCACCACCAACGTCTTTTCGGTCATTCCCCAAACCTGTCAAAACAGTCACCACCTTCACCACCACCTGTCAATCTCACACCAGTCAGTTTCCCAATCCTTGCCGCAAACGCGTCACAGTTCACACCAAGCCACCTGTCATCTCTTCCCGGTCATTCACACAAGCCTGGATCACAGTCACTCAACCAGCCAAGCCTGTCAATCTTACCCATGTCATTCCCCAACCCTGCCAAAACATGTCACCAATGTCCAACCCACCAACCATTCTCTCTTCCAGTCCATTCCCAACCTGTTCAAACAGTCACCAGTCTCTCGAGCGCGAGCGACATCTCTCGCCAGTCGATTTCCCAACCTGTCCAAAACGGTCACCAGCCACCACCCAACCCTGGTCAAATCTCCCTTCCCAGTCACTCCCAACCAAACAGTCAACATTCACACCAACGCTGTCAATTCTCTTACACAGTCATTACCCAACTGTCAAAACAGTCACCATTTCACCACCAAGCCTGTCAAATCTCTGCGAGGTCACTCCCAACCTGCAAACCACTCTCACTGTCCAATGACTCCTTCCCGGTCATCCCAAAACTGATTCAAACCAGTCCTCTCACCACCAACCTGTCAACTCTCATCATTCCGCAACCGTGTTCAAACAGACACACTTCACCACCAATGTCTGTCAATCTCTCCCCAGTCATTCCCAACCTGCTGTCAAACAGTCAAACTCATCATCACCAACCTGTCAATCTCTTCCCAGTCATTCCCAACCTGTCAAACAGTCACCATTCACCACCAACCTGTCAATCTCTTCCCAGTCATTCCCAACCTGTCAAACAGTCACCATTCACCACCAACCTGTCAATCTCTTCCCAGTCATTCCCAACCTGTCAAAACAGTCCACCATTCACCACCAACCTGTCAATCTCTTCCCAGTCATTCCCAACCTGTCAAACAGTCACCATTCACCACCAACCTGTCAATCTCTTCCCAGTCATTCCCAACCTGTCAACTTGTCACCATTCACCACCAACCTGTCAATCTCTTCCCAGTCATTCCCAACCTGTCAAACAGTCACCATTCACCACCAACCTGTCAATCTCTTCCCAGTCATTCCCAACCTGTTCAAACAGTCACCATTCACCACCAACCTGTCAATCTCTTCCCAGTCATTCCCAACCTGTCAAACAGTCACCATTCACCACCAACCTGTCAATCTCTTCCGGTCATTCCCAACCTGCTCAAACAGTCACCATTTCACCACCAACCTGTCAATCTCTTCCCAGTCATTCCCAACCTGTCAAACGGTCACCATTCACCACCAACCTGTCAACCTCTTCCCAGTCATCCCAACCTTCAAACAGTCACCATTCACCACCAACCTGTCAATCTCTTCCCAGTCATTCCCAACCTGTCAAACAGTCACCCAGTCACCACAACCTGTCAATCTCTTCCCAGTCATTCCCAACCTGTCAAACAGTCACCATTCAACAGTCAACCAGTCACACCCAACCTTCAATCTCTTCCCAGTCATTCCCAACCTGCCAAACAGTCACCAGTCACCACCAACCTGTCAATCTCTTCCCAGTCATTCCCAACCTGTCAAACAGTCACCATTCACCAACCAACCTGTCAACCATTCCCAACCTGTCAAACAGTCACCATTCACCACCACTGTCATCTCTTCCCAGTCATCCAACCTGTCAAACAGTCACCATTCACCACAACCTGTCAAGTCATTCCCACCCAAACAGTCATCACCACCAACCTGTCAATCTTTCCCAGTCATTCCCAACCGTCAAACAGTCACCATTTCACCACCAAAACCTGTCAATCTCTTCCCAGTCATTCCCAACCTGTCAAACAGTCACCATTCACCACCAACCTGTCAATCTCTTCATTCATTCCCAACCTGTCAAACATCACCATTCACACCAACCTTCAATCTTCTTCCCAGTCATTCCCAACCTCAAAACAGTCACCATTCACCACCAACCTGTCAATCTCTTCCCCAGTCATTCCCAACCTGTCAAAACAGTCACCATTCACCACCAACCTGTCAATCTCTTCCCAGTCATTCCCAACCTGTCAAACAGTCACCATTCACCAACCAACCTGTCAATCTCTCCCCAGTCATTCCCAACCTGTCAAAACAGTCACCATTCACCACCAACCTGTCAATCTCTTCCCAGTCATTCCCAACCTGTCAAACAGTCACCATTCACCACCAACCTTTCAACTCTTCCCAGTCATTCCCAACCTGTCAAACAGTCACCATTCACCACCAACCTGTCAATCTCTTCCCAGTCATTCCCAACCTGTCAAAACAGTCCACCATTCACCACCAACCTGCCAAATCTCTTCCCAGTTCATTCCCAACCTTCAAACAGTCACCATTCACCACAACCTGTCAATCTCTTCCATCATTCCAAACCTGTCAAACAGTCACCATTCCACACCAACCTGTCAATCTCTTCCCAGTCATTCCCAACCTGTCAAACAGTCACCATTCACCACCAACCTGTCAATCTCTTCCCAGTCATTCCCAACCTGCAAACAGTCACCATTTCACCACCAACCTGTCAATCTCTTCCCAGTCATTCCCACCTGTCAAACAGTCACCATTTCACCACCAACCTGTCAATCTCTTCCCAGTCATTTCCCAAACCTGTCAAAACTCACCATTCACCAAAACCTGTCAATCTCTTCCCAGTCATTCCCAACCTGTCAAACAGTCACCATTCACCAACAACCTGTCAATCTCTTCCCAGTCATTCCCCAACCTGTCAAACAGTCACCATTCACCACCAACCTGTCAATCCTCTTCCCAGTCATTCCCCAAAACCTGTCAACAGTCACCAGTGTCATCACAACCTGACAACCTCTTTCTAGTCGTCTCAGTCGGTCGTTAATCGCCAACTCTTTAACAGTCATGAAACTCTCTGTGTGAAATAGATAAAGATGAGGAAGCTTGGGAAAACTATTCCAAAATTATAGAATAAATCATTTCTCTCATATGGTTATCATCATCTCGAATGTCATTATTGCTTATTATCGTTTTATTATATAATTCATTATTCATCATTATCATTATTATTTATTTATCTCATTATTATCATTATTATCATTATTATTATTATTATTATTATTATTATTATTATTATTATTATTATTATTATTATTATTATTGTTATTATTATTATTGTTATTAATCATATATTATTATTATAATATTAATTATTATTATTATTGTTGTTGTGTTGTTGTTGTTATTATTATATTATTATCACCATCATCATTTTTTATTGTTATTATCATTATTATTATCATTATTATCATTACTATTATCATTCATCATCATCATCATCAATCATTTTTAACATTATCATCATCACCCGATCATCATCATCATCATTATTGTTATCATTGCTATCTTTAATGTCATCATTCTCATTAATAATCCTTATTGTTATTATCGTTATCATGATCATTATCATTATCAAACTCATTATCATTAGTTACATCATTATACTATCATTATTACCGCCATTATTCGAAATTTGAATATACTGGTAAATACGCGCAAAATTCCTCATCTAAACTCGAGAAAGCAATTAGATTTTGCATGAATCATATTGCAGGGAAGAAAATATTATATAATTGCCCCGGCAGTTCAAACAAAGGCATGCTAATTATTCAAAATTGTTCTAATTACGCCTGGCTTTTTCCATACGTCTCTCGCCAATGGGGATAGAATCGTCATCTTTATTATCATAATTGGCTTTATTTCTTCTGGTTTTATCTACTTCATTTTTTTTTTTTTTTTTAAGAAGAATCTTTTGAGTGTGTCTGTGGTTGTGTTGTGTGTGTGGTGTGTGTGGTGTGTGTGTGTGTGTGTGTGTGTGTCCTGTTTCTTCTCTGTCATGTCTGTCGCCTCTTTATTATCATTTCTCTTATCTTTCTTATCTGTGTTATCTTTTTTATCTCTATTCAATCTATTCATATCTGCTACCTTTGTTTATTTGCATTATGCTCTATGTAAACAAAAACAACATTAAATCCTCTTTATCACCGTATAGAACAGGTGGCCAACCTTTTGCAAGATTGATGATCTATTTTCTACAGTGACCCTGATGCGATCTACCTGCCTAAGATTCAAATTTATTCCATAAATGTAAACTGTAACAGTGTAATATAATGTATAAATATAGATTATAATTTATTCACAGAAAAAATGAGAAATATGATAATCCAAGTATCATGAGTACTTTGACATGATTATGGCAGCTATTTGCAATGACAACTTCTGAAGGACGAATTATTAACAGGTAAGCAGTGTGATCGACTTAAAACAGGCTTGTGATCGACCAGTTCTATCGCGATCGACTGGTTGGCCGCCCCTGGGATAGAGAATCCAGACTGCCACAAAGGGGACACAATATCCATGAAAAATCAATGCGAGAGAACCTAATATTTGACCTGCAAAATTCTTGCAGATGCAGCTTGGGACCGTGGACACCCCTTGCCCCCCTTGACAGCTGAAGTTGCATTTCAGCCACTCAGAGGAAGAAAGAGGTGGGGGGAGAACCTGGGAGTTTTTTTTGGTTATAAAACATGGAAAAATACCGGGGTTTTGGTTATTAAAAATATTGCGGAAAAAAAAACACCGCGGAGTTTTTTTGGGGTTATTTTTTANATGTCAATCTCTTCCAGTCCATCCCAACCTGCCAAACAGTCCCATTCACCACCCAACCTGTCAATCTCTTCCCAGTCATTCCCAACCTGTCAAACAGTCACCCAGTTCACGTCACGTCAACACTGTCAATCTCTTCCAGTCATTTCCCAACCTGCCAAACAGTCACCATTCACCACCAACCTGTCAATCTCTTCCCAAGTCATTCCCAACCTGTCAAACAGTCACCATTCACCAACCAACCTGTCAATCTTCCCAGTCATTCCCACCTGTCAAACGTCCACCATTCACCACCAACCTGTCATCTCTTCCCAGTCATTCCAAACCTGTCAAACGTCATACCATTTCACCACCAACTGTCAATCTCTTCCAGCATTCCCAACCTGTCAAACAGTCACCATTCACCCAACCAACCTGTCAATCTTTCCAGTCATTCCCACCTGTCACAGTCACCAGTCACCAACCTGTCAATCTCTCCCAGTCATTCCCAACCTGTCAAACGTCACCATTCACCACCAAACCTGTCAATCTCTTCCAGTCATTCCCAACCTGTCAAACAGTCACCATTCACCCACCACCTGTCAATTCTCTTCCAGTCTTCCCAACCTGCCAAACAGTCCACCATTCACCACCAACCTGTCAATCTCTCCCCAGTCATTCCCAACCTGCCAAACAGTTACCATTCACCACCAACCTGCCAATCTCTTCCCAGTCATTCCCAACCTGTCAAACAGTCACCATTCACAACCAACACTGTCAATTCTCTTCCCAGTCATTCAACCAAACAGTCACATTCGCCACCAACCTGTCAATCTCTTCCAGTCATTCCCAACCTGTCAAAACAGTCACCATTCACCACCAACCCTGTCAATCTCTTCCAGTCATCACCTGCAAACAGTCACATTCACCACCAACCTGTCAATCTGCCCAACTCCAACCTGTCAAACAGTCACCACTCACGTCAATCAGTCATTCCCAACCTGCCAAACAGTCACCATTCACCACCAACTGTCAATCTCTTCCCAGTCATTCCCAAACCTGTCAAAGTCACCATTCACCACAAAACCTGTCACTCTTCCCAGTCATTCCCAACCTGCCAAACCACCATCACCATGTCAATCTCTTCCAGTCATCCCAACCTGCCAACAGTCACCATTCACCACCAACCTGTCAATCTCTCTTCCCAGTCATTCCCAACCTGCCAAACAGTCCACCATTCACCACAAACCTGTCAATCTCTTCCCCAGTCCATTCCCAACTGTCAAACAGTCACCATTCACCACACAACCTGTCAATCTTTCCCAGTCATTCCCAACCTGCCAAACCCAGTCACCATTCACCACCAACCTGTCAATCTCTTCCAGTCATTCCCAACTGTCAAACGGTCCCAATTCAGCACCAATCCTGTAATCACTTCCAGTCATTCCCAACCTGCAACAGTCACCATCACCACCTGTCAATCTCTTCGCCAGTCAAACCTGTCAAACAGTCACCATTCACACCAACCTGTCAATCTCTCCAATTCCCAACCTGTCAAAACGGTCACCCATTCACCACCAACCTGTCAATCTCTTCCCAGTCATTCCCAACCTGCCAAACAGCACCATTCACCACCAACCTGTCAATCTCTTCCCAGTCATTCCCAACCTGCCAAACAGTCACATTCACCACCAACCTGTCAATCTCTTCCCCAGTCATCCTCCCAACCTGTCAAACAGTCACCATTCACCACCAACCTGTCAATCTCTTCCCAGTCATTCCCAACCTGCCAAACAGTCACCATTCACCACCAACCTGTCAATCTCTTCCAGTCATTCCCAACCTGCCAAACAGTCACCATTCACCACCAACCTGTCAATCTCTTCCCAGTCATTCCCACCTTCAACAGTCACATTCACACCAAACCACCTGTCATCTCTCCAGTCATTCCCACTGTCAAACAGTCACCATTCACACCAACCTGTCAATCTCTTCCCATCATTCCCAACCTCCAAACAGTCACCATTCACCACCAACCTGTCAATCTCTCCAGTCATTCCAACCTGCCAAACAGTCACCATTTCACCACCAACCTGTCAATCTCTTCCAGTCATTCCCAACCTGCCAAACAGTCACCATTCACCACCAACCTGTCAATCTCTTCCCAGTCATTCCCAACCTGCCAAACAGTCACCATTCACCACCAACCTGTCAAAATCTCTTCCCAGTCATTCCCAACACTGCCAACAGTCACCATTCACCACCACCTGTCAATCTCTCCCAGTCATTCCAACCTGCCAAACAGTCCAGTCACTTCACCCACCTGTCAATCTCTTCCCAGTCATTCCCAACCTGTCAAACAGTGTCACCATTCACCACCCAACTCTGTCAATCTCTTCCCAGTCATTCCCAACCTGCAAACAGTCACATTCACCACGTCACTCACCAGACCTGTCAATCTTCTGTCAATCTCTTCCAGTCATTCCCAACACTGCCAAACAGTCACCATTCACCACCAACGCTGTCAATCTCTTCCAGTCATTCCCAACCTGCCAAACAGTCACCATTCACCCCACCTGTCATCTCTTCCCAGTCATTCCCAACTGCCAAACAGTCCACCATTCACACCAACCTGTCAATCTCTTCCCAGTCCATTCCCGTCAACTGTCAAACAGTCACCATTCACCACCAACCTGTCATATCTCTTCCCAGTCATTCCCAACCTGTCAACAGTCCACCATTCCCACCAACCTGTCAATCTCTTCCAGTCATTCCCCAACCTGCCAAACAGTCACCATTCACCTTCACCAAACTCTGTCAATCTCTCCCAGTCATTCCCAACTGTCAAACAGTCACCATTCACCACCAACCTGTCAATCTCTTCCAGTCATTCCCAACCTGTCAACGGTCACCATTCACCACAAACCTGTCAATCTCTTCCAGTCACCCCAACCTGTCACTTGTCACCATCCACCAACCTGTCAATCTCTTCCCAGTCATTCCCAACCTGTCAAACAGTCACACATGTCATCTCAGTCATTCAACCTGCCAAACAGTCACCATCGTCTCTCTTCCGTCATTCCCAACCTGTCAAACAGTCACCATTCCACACCAACTGTCAATCTCTTCCCAGTCATTCCAACCATGTCAAACAGGTCACCATTCACCACCAACCTGTCAATCTCTTCCAGTCATTCCCAATTGCCAACAGTTCACCATTCCACGCACCAACCTGTCAATCTCTTCCCAGTCATTCCAACCTGTCAAACGGTCCACCATTCACCACCAACTTGTCAATCTCTTCCCGTCATTCCAACCTGCCAAACGTCACCATTCACCACCAACCTGTCATCTCTTCCCAGTCATTCCCAAACCTGCCAAACAGTCACCATTCACACAGTGTCAATCTCTTCACATTCCCAACCTGCAAAAGTCACCATTCACCACCAACCTGTCAATCTCTTCCCAGTCATTCCCAACCTGTCAAACAGTCACCATTCACCACCAACCTGTCAATCTCTTCCAGTTTCCAACCTGTTAACAGTCCCATTCAAACACACCAACCTTGTCAATCTCTTCCCAGTCATTCCCAACCTGCACACGTCAACCATTCAACCTTCCACATTCAACCTGTCAATCTCTTCCCAGTCATCCCAACCTGTCACAACAGTCACCAATTCACCACACCTGTCATCTCTTCCCAAGTCATTTCCAACCTGTCCTCACTCACCATTCACACCAACCTGTCAATCTCTCCCAGTCTTCCCAACCTGTCAAAACAGTCACCATTCACCACCACCCTGTCATTCTTCCAGTTCATTCCCACCTGTCAAACGTCACCATTCACCAACCAACCTGTCAATCTCTTCCAGTCATTCCAACCTGTCAAACAGTCACCATCATCACCACCTGTCAATCTCCTCCCGTCATTCCCACCTGTCAAACAGTCACCAGTCATCACCAACCTGACAACCTCTTTCTAGTCGTCCTCAGTCGGTCGTTCATCGCCAACTCTTTAACAGTCATGAACACAAACTCTGAGTGAATAGATAAAGATGAGGAAGCTTGTGAAAACTATTCCAAAATTATAGAATAAATCATTTCTCTCATATGGTTATCATCATCTTGACGATTGTCATTATTGCTATTATCGTTATTATCATAATTATCATTATTATCATTATTATCATCATTATTGTTATTATCATTATTATTATTATTATTATTATTATTATTATTATTATTATTATTATTATTATTATTTATTATTATTATTATTTTATTATTATCATTATTATTATTGTTTATTATCATTAATTATCATTATTATTATTATAAATATAATATTATTATTATTGTTTTGTTGTTGTTGTTTGTTATTATTATTATTATTATCACCATCATCATTTTTTATTGTTATTATCATTATTATTATCATTATTATCATTATTATTATCATTATTATTATCATCATCATCATCATCATCATTTTTAACATTATCATCATCACCGACATCATCATCATCATTATTGTTATCATTGCTATCTTTAATGTCATTATCCTCATAATTATCCTTATTGTTATTATCGTTATCATGATTACCATTATCATTATTATCAATTATCATTAGTACCATTTCTATACTGGTAAATACGCGCAAAATTCCTCATCTAAACTCGAGAAAGCAATTAGATTTGCATGAATCATATTGCAGGGAAGAAAATATTATATAATTGCCCCGGCAGTTCAAACAAAGGCATGCTAATTATTCAAAATTGTTCTAATTACGCCTGGCTTTTTCCATACGTCTCTCGCCATGGGATAGAATCGTCATCTTTATTATCATAATTGGCTTTATTTATCCTGGTTTTATCTTCTTTTTTTTTTTTTTTTTTTTTTTTGTAAAGAAGAATCTTTTGAGTGTCTGTGTGTGTGTGTGTGTGTGTGTGTGTGTGTGTGTGTGTGTGTTTCTTCTCTATGTCATGTCTGTCGCCTCTTTGTTATCATTTCTCTTATCTTTCTTATCTGTGTTATCTTTTTTATCTCAGTTCAATCTATTCATTTCTGCTTCCTTTGTTATTTGCATTATGCTCTATGTAAACTAAAACAACAATTAAATCCTCTTTATCACCGTATAGAGCAGGGTGGCCAACTTTTTGCAAGATATGATCTACTTTTCTACAGTTACCCTGATGCGATCTACCTGCCTAAGATTCAAATTTATTCTATAAATGTTACTGTAAATTAAATATTATAAATATATAATTTATTCACAGAAAAAATGAGAATATGAAATAATCAGTATCATGAGTACTTTGACATGACATGGCAGCTATTTGAATGACAACTTCTGAAGGACGAATTATTAAAGTATAGTAGTATGATCGACTTAAAACAGGCTTGTGATCGACCAGTCTATCGCGATCGACTGGTTGGCCGCCCCTGGGATAGAGAATCCAGACTGCACAAAGGGACACAATATCCATCAAAAATCAATGCGAGAGAACCTATATTTTGACCTGCAATAATTCTTGCAGATTGCAGCTTGCACCGTGACACCCCTTGCCCCTTGACAGCTGAAGTTGCATTTCAGCCACTCAGAGGAAGAAAGAGGTGGGGGAAAACATGGGAGTTTTTGGTTATAAAACACGGGAGCTTTTGGTTATAAAACATGGAAAAATACGGAAGATTTTGGTTATAAAATATGAAAAAACAGCAGTTTTTGGTTATAAAACGTGGGAAAATACGGGAGGATTTGGTTGTTATGGAAAAACAGGGTTTTCGGTTATAAAACATGGAAAAACACGGGAGTTTTTGGGTATAAAACACGGGAAAATACAAGAATTTGGGATTAAACATGGGTAAACATGGAAGTTTTAGCTTTAGATATATAATCATTTTCCAAAGTGGATTAAGTTAAAGTAATGTTCGTCTTTGGTTTAATTTTGATGAGTGTGTATTTATATAATCGCCTGTTTATATATTGTCTTGTCTGTCTCTCTCTCTCTTCTCTCTGTTCTCTCTCTCTCTCATCTCTGTTCTCTCTCTCTCTCTCTCTCTCTCTCTCTCTCTCTCTCTCTCTCTCTTCTCTCTCTCTCTCTTTCTCTCTCTCTTCTCTCTCTCTCTCTCTCACACAACACAACACACACTCTTTGTATCTATCTATCTATCCATCCCATCTAACTCAATCTGTCCTATCTATATCTATCTATATATATCTATCTATCTATCTATATATATCAATTTATCAATCTATCTATAGTCTATCAACTTATCTATTGAAACTATCTTCTGCCCATCTTATGTATTATCAATCATATCTATCTATCTGTCTATATCTATCTCTTTATTTATCTATCTATCAATCAATCAATCAATAAGTCAAGCAATCTATCTATCTATCTTCTTTCTCTTAATCTCTGTCACTCTCTTTTTTCTATATTTGGGATCGGCACTGACATATTCAAAATTAATTTTGCTATATAAAAAAAATCCTTGATAAGTCTGAAATATATGAAATGTTGATTATATTGACATCCACTATTTCACCACTTTGATGTTTTTAAATGCTATAGTTCAGTTCCAAATGTCATACTAGGTGTCACACTAGAATTGTTATATATAATATATATATATATATATATATATATATATATATATATATATATATTATATATACCAGAGAGAGAGAGAGAGAGAGAAAAGGGATGTGAGGGAGGAGCAGAGAGAGAGAGAGAGGGGGGATTGGGAGAGGGGCAAAGAGAGTGAGGGAGAGACAGACGGAGAGTAAAAGAGGGAGCGAGAGAAGGGCAGATGGAGAGAGACAGAAAGAGCAAGAAGAGGGACAGAAAGAGAGAGAGAGAGGGAGAGAGAGAGAGAAAAAAGGAGGGAGGGAGTGAGAGAGGGGCGGGGGGCAGAGGGAGTGAGAGAGGAGAAGAGAGAAAGGGAGGAAGAAAGAAAGAGAGACATACATACATACAGGCAGACAGAAAAAGAAAATAAAAGAGTGGAGGGGGTTACAGAAACAGAGTGAAAAGAGAAGAAAAAAAGCACGACTTCTCTAACAAAACATAAACAACATAATAATAATAATGAAATAGTCAACAAACAAAATTCAGAAAGATTACAACTGTAAGACGAAAACGATAGAAGATTTTTTAATATTCTCTTTCACGCCAGAAAAGAAAGAGGGAAGGAGATGGCGAGAAAAATAATAAATAAAAATGTTGAGAGGTGACAGAGGGACTAAGGTAAAGGGGGGAGGGGGAGGATAGGGAGGGAGGGGGGTGAAAGGGAGAAAACGTGCGTAGAAGGTAAATGGTTAAGGTAAGAGGGAGAAAGGGGGGAATGTGGAATGATAGAGAATAGGGAAAAGGAGAGAGAGGAGGTGGGAGAGAACGTTAAAAAATTATCATAATAAAGTGAGAGAGAGAAAGACCGAGGCAGAGACAGTGACAAAGAGAAAGGAGAAAGAGAATAAGCGAGAGAGAGAGAGAGAGAGAGAGAGAGACAGACAGAAGACAGATTGGCAGAAAAGAAAGAGAGACAAGAGAAGCAAGCAAGAAAGGGAATATGCTACGAGAGGAGAGTGTAGGTAGAGAGAGAGAGAAAGAGAGAGAGAGAGAGAGAGAGAGAGAGAGAGAGAGGAGAGAGAGAGAGAGAGAGAGAGAGAGAGAGAGAGAGAGAGAGAGAGAGAGAGAGAAAGAAAGAGACAGACAGACAGACAGAGTAAGAGAGAAGAGAGAGAGAGAGAGAGAGAGAGAGAGAAGCAAGCAAGAAAGGGAATAAGCTGTAAGAGGAGAGCGTAGGCAGTGTGGCAATGTCGAGGTAACAAGGACGAATGGCCCGAAGGCGGTCCCGTTAATACCAACCTAATGCCTCCTACCTTGTTACGTGTACTGTGGGGAGCTGCCTGCCGATATTATTACGAGCTGGCAACTCACCTTCCTCGAGACCACGAGATATTTGCTTAGAGGAAAGGGTGGAAGAGGGAAAGAAGAAGTAATTGAAGGGGAAAGGAAGAAGGGAGAAAAGGAGGAGACAGATGGACAGTGAGACGAAGGTATATATATGTGAGAGAGGGGGGGAGAAGAGGAGGGAGGGAGAATATGGGAAAAGGGGAAAGAGGGAGAGGAAGACGGAAGGAGGGAGCAAAATTACGAGAAAAGGGGGAAGAGAGAGAGGGAGATGGAAGGAGGAGAATACAGAGAAATAGAGGGAAAATGAGAAAGAGAAGGAGAGACGAGGGAAGGGAAGGAAATAGAGAGAGAAAGGGGGAGGAAAGAGGTAAAGGAAAAAGAGAGAGAGAGAGAGAGAGAGAGAAAGCGAAAAGGGGAGACGAGATTGAAGAAGAAGGGGGAGACAAGAAAAAATGAAGAAGGGACAGAGAAATTAGACTGAAGAAGGGAGACAGTCAGTAAATCAGAGGAAATGAATGGAATACATAACAAAATTGTCTGTATATGCGTAGTGAATTGTGTGTGTGCGTGTGTATGTGTGGTGTGTGTGTGTGTGTGTGTGTGTGTGTGTGGTGTGTGTGTGTGTTTGTGTGTGTGTGTGTGTGTGTGTGTGTGTGTGTGTGTGGTGTGTGTGTGTGTGTGTTTGTGTGTTTGTGTGTGTGTGTGTGCGTGTGTGTGTGTGTGTGTGTGTGTGTGTGTTGTGTTTGTGTGTCTGTGTGCTCATGTGTTCGTATGTGTGTGTGTGCTTGTGTGTCTGTGTGCTCATGTCTGTGTGTCTGTGCACGCGTAGCACATAGTAAGTACATAAGTTTTAAAGACCTTCCCATGCGAGAAATGTATTGCAAATATTCAAATGAAAGGCAAAAAAAAAAGACAGAAGTAAACCCTAAAAATAAAAAAGTGTGTGTGTGTGTGTGTGTGTGTTTGTGTGTGTGGTGTGTGTGTGTGTGTGTGTTGTGTTTGTGTGTTGTGTGTGTGTGTTTTGTGTGTGGTGTGTTTGGTGTGTGTGTGTGTGTGTGTGTGTGTGGTTGTTTGTGTGTTGTGTGTGTAATGTGTGCATGTGTGCTCATGTGCTGTGTGTCCTGTGCACGCAATAGCACATACAGTAAGTATGCGAGAAAATGTAATTGCAAATATTCAAATGAAAGGCAAAAAGAGCAAAGTAAACCCTTAAAAAAAAAAAAAAAAAAAAATCATTTAAAAAAGAAAGAAAAACAGACATCGCAAAGAGCCTAGAGACAGGAACATAATCGCGACAACTCTTTATGTAAACATAACCTTCCTTACGGGATAGACGAGGCATGAGAGGAAGAGAAATGGCATCGAACGAGAAATACAAGAGTACCCCCTTTTCTCCTTCCACTTTGCTGCGCCCGTTTTCTGTAGTCAAAGAGGAGAGGTGTTGGTACGTGTGGGTGTAGAGTGTACAGTACATGTAAAACAGGGGAAGAAGGAAGAGAGAAGGAGGAGAGGTGGGTTGTCTGGATTTGGGGGATGTAAAGGTGAACGACATGCAGACGGAGACAGACAGACGCTCATAAAGGTATACATATTATGAATAGGTAAATAATACCAGGTAGATAATATAAGTGATTATTATACGTAGAGAAAATGGTATAGGTATGATAATTAAAGTCAAAGAGATAGACAAATAACATCAAAACACACGCAGGCAAACGGACGGACAGACAGGGTTTACAAAGGGAAGAAACAACATAGAAAAATAAACAATTAATTAAAAAAAACAAAAAAAAAAAAAAGATAAATCATAGAAATACGAATGACATTATTAAAAACATTCATACAAACATACAGATGAGATATGACATAGAAAAAGACACGGGAAATCTGACGGAGTTCACAGCAGAAGATTTGAGGTGTTCAGCGGGTCATCTTAAAGCATACAGCGGATACAAGTGTTGTGAAGTTGTAGATTCCACGAACTTACATGTGGATGGAGAAGGCATTGGATTGGACTTAGTGGATCGATTTGAATGTTAATTTGCATGAATGGAAAGTCAGTTTGGAGTTTAGAAGGAGAATGATTTAACCGGAAGCAGAGTCCTCATAGACACGGCAAGTACGTACGCAGTTACTTGTGTGTTAGTCATCGGAGCCGCTTTCCCCTATCACCTTTATTCTCTCTTCTTCGTCTATCTATCTATCGGTCTCTCTCGTCTCTCTCTCTTCTCTCTCTCTCTCTTCTCTCTCTCTCTCTCTCTCTGTCTCTCTCTCTCTCTCTCTCTCTCTCTCTCTCTCTCTCTCTCTCTATCTCTCTCTTTCTCCTCCCTCCCTCCCTCCTCCCTCCCCCCCTGACCCTCTCTCTCTCTCTACTTCCCTCTCCCTCTCTCCCTGACCTCTCCCTTTCAACTGTTTGTTAAAATAAACATCCCAAAGAATAAACAGAATTTGGCATAACAGTGATATAGCATTTAACGCGTAATCACTGTATGACTGTTCTGATTAGCGTACACTTAATTGATCATTAGGCTTTGTTGTCATTTTATTAGTTTCTGCATGATTTCACCCGCAGTTTGAATTAATACATGGTTACAGTGGGACCAGTTTATCATAATTAGTAAATAAAGCATACACAATATCACATATATTCGGTATTTATGAGGGTGTCTTTTTATTGTTGTTGTTGCTAGATTTGCTGTAGTTGTTTTAGAAGGTGAGTTGAGGAATGTTTTACTGAAGTGAGTATGATTAATGCGGATGCACGATGCCTTCTGCCTGTTACACGTACTCAAAGGAATCGGTAAACAAGAACCAGAAAGCTTTTCCGTATGTGACGTTCATTTCAAAACGAGATTTTATTTTAAAAAAAGAAAAAAAAATCTCTCTCTTCTATATAACAGTAAGATTTTCCCTGACTGAGTCACTGAAATGCCATCGAATAAAAGAAGAAGAAGGAAGAGAAGGAAAGGAAGAAAATCGGTCAAAGTACCCAAGCGCACATGTTAACGTATAGCGTAGATCCTGCAGTCTGTAACCCCGTGCATATATGGCTAAAAGGGAGAGGCATTATACGGTTACACAGGAAGCAACAGAGAGCTGGTAGTTCCCGGTGTAAGGCACACCATTACAGCTTGGGTCGTTGTGATAATCGCTAAACAGAGGAAGAGGTGAGAGTGAATAATACCACTCTACTTCTGACTCCCGTTTCATGCTGATGAGTGTGCGATCGAGTGGTCAGTGAGTCCTCTCGCCTCGTGAAATTATTCATCCGTATTCATACCCCTTTTTCCAACAGGGCTGGCCGTAGAGCTTGTAATGGCACGCTTATGACTTATTCACAACGGTTCAGGTAGAAGCTTCTCTCAAAAACTCTGTTCAAGGGAGAGCATGCTTACGACACGGGAAAAAGGGTAGTTTCCATTAGGTCAAGATGCTGGAAAGGGAAATTCCTTAGACGATATTCAAAGCATAAGAGATTTAGAAGGACTTTGTGGCTTGTTATTGATGCGCAGAGTGGCAGCGTCCTGTCGTGAAGAAAAGACGATTCGGTGAAGGATGTTATGGGCTCCTTCTTGCAGATCCTTATAACAAGGTTCTCTCTAGGAAATGGAATCCTCGGAGGCATTAAAAAGCAAACTGATGCAGGGAATGACATCCACCGTCTCTGTTAAAATAAATAAAGAAAAACAAGTTATGAATAGAATTTAATCATTTCATAATATAAAGTGTGTACTTAAGGTTTTGTGTTCGCATCTTTAAGATAACGCAGCTTCTGAAAATAGGATATTCTTATTTTTTTCAACATTAGTCGAAAACCTAATCGCAATAGTTAAACGAGTTGAAAGAACATGCACACATAGGTTGGACACAAACTGTCGAAATAAACCAATGAATTTTATTTGGAATTTGTAGTGACGTCTGTTTTCTGTTTTCATCCTCATCATCCTTTTTTTTTTCTTCTTTTCCTCTTTATTAGAAACAACGCTACCATCAATATCCGGAAACAAGACTGTATGTAAGAACGACTGTTACAAATGAATCTTCCTCTCTCTCTCTCTCTCTCTCTCTCTCTCTCTCTCTCTCTCTCTCTCTCTCTTCTCTCTCTCTCTCTCTCTCTCTCTCTCTCTCTCTCTCTCTCTCTCTCTCTCTCTATCTCTCTCTCTCTCTCTCTCTCTCTCTCTCTCTCTCTCTGATTGTCTGTCTGTTTCCCTGTTCTCTCTTTTTCATGTTACTAAAAATATTATAAACTGAGCAATGTCAATTCTTTTAGCGAAATACACAGATAATGTGTGGAATTATAAGGCCGAACTCGCAACACAATTACAGTTAGAGTGTTCATAAGATTCTAACGTCAGATGAAATGAGAGCCTTTGATGCTGTTGCTATTAATGACTCGCAGGAGGAAGAGAGGGAAAGAGACAGAGAGAGGTAGAAAGAGAGAAAAAGAGACGCAGGAGGAACACGAGAGAGGAAGAGAGGGAAAGTGACAGAGAGAGAGAGGAGGAGGGAGAGAGGAGAGGGAGGAAGAAGAGGGAGGGAAGAGGGGGAGGGAAAGAAAGAGAGAGAGAAAAGGAGAAGAGAGGGAGAGAGGAGGTAGAGAAAAGAGAGGAGAGAGAAAGAGATAAACAAACAGACAGAAAAGAAAGAGAGAGAGAAGACAGAAGGAGAAAAGAGAGAAAGAGACAAATTGAATCTAATTCATAGACGGATAAATGACCAAAGAGGCAGATGTGACGAAATTATGGAAAATTGTACCCTATGGATTTTGTAATTACGCTCACTTCTGGCTTTGATTTCTGTTAATTATTGCACCTATTGCTACTCGCTATATTTAAATTATTGTCAGTGTGTGTCAAGAAATTCCTTCCCAGTATTTGGTCTGTCTTTAAATATAAAAAAAGATCGATGGGAGACCAATCCACGATTATTTTGGATTATAGTCAGTGACATTGTAACGTCAAAAAAAGAAGAGAAAAAGAAAAAAAAGAAAAAAAAGAAAAAAAAAAATACATATATATATATATATATATATATATATATATATATATAATATATATATATATATATATACGACTGACTATTTTTCGTAGGCATTTTACTATACCTACTACAGATTTTGCCGATTTGCCGACACATTTTATTGTTTTCTAAATCTATTGGCCTATCTATCTATTTGTCTCTGTTTCTATATCCATTTCTATCTCGGTCTCTATCTCTATCTCTATCTCGATCTCTGTTTCTATATCCATCTCTATCTCGGTTTCTATTTTTTATATCCACCTCTATCTCGGTCTCTATTTCTATATCCATCTCTATCTCTGTCTC